TTCTCCACAGCCCGGGCACAGGTGGAGTCTCCTGCAGGAGGCAACCAATCGATGTTTCTCTTACACCAATATTTCTCTCTTTCCCTTTCTCTTGCACTCCCTCTAAAAATCAATGGAAAAATATTCTTGGGTGAGGATTAAAAATAAAGTGCTAAACTGGTAAAAAATAAACAAGTAATTACCGTATTTTCCGGCGTATAAGACAACCCCCTAATTTTACAGTTAAAACATAGGTTTAGGCCTATATTCGCTGTATAAGACTACCCCCCACTTCCGAGGCAACACCAGTTTTTTTTAATAGACCGCCTCTCTGGCTCTGGCCAATCCAAGCAGGCTTTTTATGCATGCAAATTATACATGTTCTGTACCCGAAGCTACACTGTGTTCTAGTAAAAAGCCTGCTAGGGCGGTGGTATAGTGCCATCCTAGATTTCCAAGAGAGCTGCTTTCTATCCATCTTCTTTTCTTGTTCCCTCTGCTGAGACCTGAATTCAGACCTCTGAAAAAGCCCGGTTGACTTTTTTTCGTTTCAAAAGTCGTCTTATACTCCGGAAAATACGGTAATAAATAAATAAGTAAAAATGAACAAGCCTAGAGGCCCCAACTCCACACCCAGTGCACAGACTGACAAGTGTCTCCCAGCAAGGCGGGCTGAGGTGTCCCCGTGCCCAGCCCTGCAGGGGAGTCCTGCCACCTTAAGCACTTGGCCCCTGGGGGGACAAATGGATTCCTCTAAGGGGGGCTAGGGACAAGTCTGCCCAGTGGCAGGACTGTCAATGTCCCCTCTGGCATCTAGAGCAGCTCAACCCTTCCCCTCACTGCCCAGCCCTCCTCCCAGCAACCCGCAGCATTTTCCCAGGAGGGGCTAAGAACAGAGACTAAGAGCAGGGCCCTGGGCCAGGGTTCAAGTCCCAGCCCCACCACTTGCTGTAACTGTTCCCTTTCCAAGCCTGTGTCCTCATCCCACACAGGAGTCATAAGGCTACTCTTAACTCAGGAGTCTGACAAGTCAATTAAGAAAATTAGCTAAAGCCGAAACCGGTTTGGCTCAGTGGATAGAGCGTTGCCTGCGGACTGAAAGGTCCCAGGTTCGATTCCAGCCAAGGGCATGTACCTTGGTTGCAGGCACATTCCCAGTGGGGGTGTGCAGAAGGCGGCTGATTGATGATTCTCTCTCATTGATGTTTCTGGCTCTCTATCCCTCTCTCTTCCTCTCTGTGAAAAATCAATAAAATATATATATGGGGGGGGAGAAAATCTAGCTAAACAAGTCCCTAGGATATATTAAGAGCTTCAGAATTTATTTTTATTATTATTATTATTATTATTATTATTATTATTATTTTATGTTTTACAGCTATGTAGGCGCGCCGGGGCCACGCTTCAGAATTTGTAGTTGAGAGTAGTTGAGGTGAGAGTAGTTGAGGTGAGAGTGAAGTTGAGGGGAGTGGGGGTGGGAGTACACGTGCAGCAACCTTCCCGGCAACCTGCAGCGCCCGGTGTTCACCAGCCTGAGCCACCCCATCTGGGGCTCCACCTCCTCCATATCCACGCCTAGCTTCCCTGGCGGCAGAGCACGTGGCCTCAACCCTAGGGAGCCATTTCCCTCCTAGAGCAGCGCCTCAGGAAAGAGACTGCAAGTCCCAGCCGGGCAGGCGGGAGAACCCCCCACGAAGCTGTGCCGTCCCCCGGGGGGCGTTCAGTATACAGATGGCCGGGCCCTCCCTTCTAGCCACCGGAGTTGCGGACATCGGCATTTTAACAAGTGTCCAGGGTGACTCTGGTGGGAGTGGTGCGTGAACTCATCGCCCTTTGTAAAAGGAGGATCTGGAGCAAGCAGGTCAAGCTATTGTAGTAAAGTGGCTTCTGTAACAACCCGGGTCCAATCCGTAAAGGAGCGGAGAGCCGCGGCCCTCTGACCACCCACCCACTCGCCCCGCTGGGAGCCCGCCGCTTTCGGTTTCTGGCGAGGGGCGGGGGGAGAACGAGGTGTGGGAAAGTTTGCGGTAGAGACCTACGTGCAGGGTCTGTGAGACTCGGCGCGGCACCTGGTACCCACTCATCCCAAAAGCTCCCCCACCTGGCCCGCCTCGCCTGTCCCGCCAGCGAGCGGCTGAGCTTTGTGCGGGGGGAAAGCGTGGCCCGGGAGCGCCTACAACTCCCACAATGCCGCGCCGGAGGGCCGCGGAGAACTACAGCTCCCGAGAGGCGGCGCGCGGAGGTCCGCCTACTCCAAGAGGGCTGCAGAGTCACGTCCAGGCCTCGCTAGTAAACAGCGCCCGGGCGGCAAGCGAGCAAGCAGCGGCCGCAACGTGCCCGGGTCCGCGGCGCTCCCGGCTCCCCGCGCGAGTCCCTAGGGTCCCACCCACCCCTCTACCCCTCCGCGAGCACACCCCCCGCCGCAGAACTCCGTCCTGCAAACGGGCACACCACCCGGCTCCCCGCCCCCCCCCACGCCCCGAGCCGCGGCGTGGCTGCATTGTAGCTGCCCGCCCGCGGCCCCCCACGCGCCTCGGGCCCCCCCAGATCCCCTTGGAGGGGTTACCCGGAGTCAGCGAGGAAAGAGGGAAAGGAAGGAAGCCAATGCGGGAGGGGGGAAGAGGACGCGCGGGGTGGGGAGGGAAGCCACCAGCACCAAGCATGGCCGGGATTGCTGCAGAACCACGTGGGTCTGTTTGCAATTACAAACGTCGCGACTCGCCCGCCTGCAGCGGACAAAAGTGACCGGGACCGCTCGGGGCCCCCACGTTCCGAGGGAGGAGGGTTCCCGGGCGGCGCGAGATCGGCGTGCGGGGCTGCAACTGCCCGGGCGGCTAAGAAAAGCGAGCGGGGCTGGCGGCGCGGGCCATGCGTGCGCACACACGCGCCCACTCGGGCTGGCTCGCCCGGGGCTGCAGTTGTAGGAAGGGGAGAGGGGGTAAGGGGAGAAGTACACACCTACAGAGCCCTCCTATCACTTCTTTCTCTGTTTTCCTGAAATGTTGCAAAGAGGGCACCTTCTGAGCGGGCACCATGAAATACTCCATAGCGATCGGCCCCCCTCCTCTGCACGAGCCGGGTCCCGCGGTCCGCCGGAGAATGCAAGATGGAAATCCGAATCAAAGGGCAGCGCCGGACGGTGGTGCAGAATCGGCCGGTCCCAGATGCTGGCGGCGGCGGCGGCGGCGGCAAGGGGAGGGAGGCGGGCGGGAGGGGCGAGAGGGAGGTCTCTCCGGCCTGCCTCCCCGGGCGCGTGTATGTGTGTGTGTGTTTGCAGCTGATCAGATGTCTGTTTCAAGGCGGGAAACAGCTGGTGAAAACTCAGCACTCCCCCGGCCTCCTTCCGCGGAGTAAGGAATTGCATGTAAACAAAGGACTATTTGCAGCGGTCCCCCCCCCCCCCCCAGCGGCGCACAGTCGTGATGAGAAGGGCTTGGGCCCCCGTGGGCGAGGGGCCGCCGGGATCCGTGGGCCTCCCCCCGGCGCGAGAAGCGGGGGGCTGCGGGTGGACTGGGAAGGCACGGCGTGAATGGAGCGAGTTGCGGCTGAGCTACATGCGCCACTATGGGTGATGAGGTCCATCAGCTGACAGGTTGGCAAGCGTTGGGGAGGAGAAAAAAAAAAGAAGAAAAAAGCCAGCCACCGCGGGGGAACCCAGCCAGTGCGGCCGGGGTCCGCGGGGACTGCCCAGGGCAGGGTCTTGGCGCTGGGCGGCCCTCGAGGGCGGGGGACGCGCCGAGGGGCCGGGGAAGGCGGCCTGGGGTGCTGCTCGGGGCTCTTCGCTTTTTACGATTGTAACTGCACAGAGTGGAGCCGCTCTGGCGCGCTCCCTCCGAGCTCGGGGCCCCCTGGAAACTTGCGTCACAGCCACCGCTTCCCACATGCAACTTGGGGCCGGCTTCGGAGGCCGGCCAGCCTACTGCCTCCCGCCCTCCCTCGCTCGCTCCCTCGCTCGCTCCCTCCCTGCCTCCCTGCCCAGCTGCCCGGCTCTGGCCGCCTAGCCCAGCTCCAAAGCCTGGGAATCCCGGAGCTGGAGAGAGGAATGCGAAGGGGGCGCGCCGGGCGCCTCGGATCCTGGGGCTGCCCTAGGAAGCGGGGGCCCCGGCAGGGAGGGAAACGTGGAGGGAGGCCAAGACGGCAGCGGCCCGGCGGCATGCTGCCAGCGCGGCTGGGAGGTCTGGTGGCTGCTGCTGCCGGGTCCCGTCCTAGCCTTCGCCATGCACACTTTCCCCCTCGGCGGGGAGGCAGGGCGGCGGGAATCTTGGCCTGGGCGGAGGGAAAGCTGCAGCTTTTCATTCACGAAACCAAGGCGAGACTTGCTCCTCCACAAGGGCGCGCTTTCTACCAGGGCTGATTGGCCTGGGGCGGAGAAGGGAGGGACACTAGCTAATGAACTTCTGTCCTTGCCACCACCCTCACCAGGTCCCCATCCTCTTTCCCCAGGTCCTCCCCTGGCTCCTGGAGGGTGGGCCCCGGGCTCCAGAAGACCACGCCTGCCTTAGAATGTCCTGCCTCCTGCCCACCACCCTCCTCAATCCCATTCACCTGCAAGGTTCCACCCACATGGCACCTCCTAATTGAAATACTCCTACTAATAACAAGGATTACTGTTATTATCCTATCCTATGTAATAAAAGGCCAATATGCAAATTGACCAAGCAGCAGAACGACAGGTCTATGATACATACTGACCACCAGGGGGCAGATGCTCAACGCAGGAGCTGCCCCCTGGTGGACAGTATGCTCCCACCACAGGGGGAGCACCACTGAGCCAGAAGCCCTAAGGATGTCCAACTGCTAGCTTAGGCCTGCTCACCAAGCCTGCAGACTGAAGGGTACCAGGTTCTATTTCAGTCAAGGGCATGTACCTTAGTTGTGGGCACATGGGGGGCGGGGAACGGGGAGGATGCAAGAGGCAGCTGATCAATGTTTCTCTCTCATCCATGTTTCTATCTCTCCCTTCCTCTCTGTAAAAAAATCAATAAAATGTTTTTTAAAAGTTATATGTGATGAAACCGGTTTGGCTCAGTGGATAGACCGTCGGTCTGCAGACTGAAAGGTCCCAGGTTTGATTCCGGTCAAGGGCATGTACCTTGGTTGTGGGCACATCCCCAGTGGAGGGTGTGCAAGAGGCAGCTGATCGATGATTCTCTCTCATCGATGTTTCTAACTCTCTATCCCTCTCCCTTCCTCTCTGTAAAAAAAATCAATAAAATATATTTTAAAATATATTTTTTTAAAAGTTATATGTATTAGTTTCCTATAGCTACTGTTTTAAATTACTATAAACTTAGTAACACACTTATTCTCTGGAAGTCAGAAGTCCAAATGGGTTATACTTGGCTAAATCAAGGTGTCAGCAGGGCTGTGCTCTTTTTGAAAGCTCTACAGGGGATTGTATTTCCTTCCCTTTTCCAACTTCTGGGAAGTGGCCCTGATTTTTTGGCTCATGGGCCCTTCCTCCATCTTCAAAGTGTGTCCCTCCAACTTCTGCTTCTGTCACCACGTCTTCTCTGACTCTCTTGCCTCCTTTCTATGATGGCCTTGGACCCACCCAAATAATCCAGAATAATTTCCCAATCTCAAGATCCTTAGCATGTTCAAAGTTTGCTTTGTAAGGCAACATTCACAAGTACTGGAATTAGGCTATAAATATCCGGGGAGGGGGGCGAGCATTATTCTGTCCACAACAACAACATCACTCTTAGTGTTCACTTTGTAGGTTCGATTTCAGCCAAGCACTGTGCCTTGGTTGCGGGCACATCCCCCGTGGGGGGGGTGCAGGAAGCAGCTGATCCATGTTTCTCCTTCATCTATGTTTCTAGCTCTCTATCCCTCTCCCTTCCTCTCTGTAAAAAAAATTAAAATATATTTTAAAAATATATATATCACTTCCCTCTTTATCTAGCTTAGAATTCATAGTCTATCAATATAATCATCTCACATACACTTTCCCTTTCAAGTCTAATAACCCCTCCTGCCCTGCACCTATTACCCCCCACCCCAAGTGGAACAGGGCTGGGAAAAGGAAATCCCACAACCTTACTGAGTGATTTCTTTTTTATTTTTTATTTTTGTTAATCCTCACCTGAGGATATTTTTCCATTGATTTTTAGAGAGAGTGGAAAAGAGAGAGAAACATCGATATGAGAGAAGCACATCGATTGGTTGACTCCTGCACACAGCCTGACCAGGGCCCAGGCCAGGACAGAGCCTACAAACGTGGTACGTGCCCTTGACTGGAATCGAACCCAGAACCCGTACATCCACTGAGCCAAACTGGCAAGGGCAAGTGATCTTTTTCTTTTTCTTTTTTTTTCTTTTTTTTGGGGGGGAGGTGCTAGGCATTTCTTTCTTTCTTTCTTTCTTTTCTTTCTTTCTTTTTTATTTTTTTTAATTGATATTTTACAGAGAGGAAGGGAGAGAGATAGAGAGCCAGAAACATTGATGAGAGAGAAACATCGACCAGCTGCCTCCTGCATACTCCCTACCGGGGATGTGCCCGCAACCAATGACATGCCCTTGACCGGAATCTAACCCAGGACCCTTCAGTCCGCAGACCAACGCTCTACCACTGAGCCAAACCAGTTTCGGCTTATTTTTATTTATTTTTTTTTGTTTTATTTTTTATTGTTTGAAGCATTACAAATAGTAGTACATATGTTTCCTTTTTCTCCCCTTGACCTCTCCCCAACCTCTCTACTCCCCCCCCCCCCCCCATCTTATTTTTAAATGCCAGGCCAAGATCCTAGGATGGATCTTGGATGGCTGGTAGTCGCTTCATATTGCCCCGTACATTCTCTCTCCCACTTTCTCCTTTCTGCAAAACCTCTTTCACCTCCTCCTGCTCCTCACTCTCAGCTCATGACCTCACATCCTGTTTCTCTGAGAAAATAGAAGCAATTAGAAGAAAACTTATCCCTAGAAATATATAACCTTCCTAGACTAAATCATGAGAATTGGAAAAGACTAAATAGACCCATCAGCAATGAGGATATTAAAACAACCATCAAAAACCTCCCAAAAAATTGCCGGGGCCGGTTTGGCTCGGTGGATAGAATGTCGGCCTGCGGACTGAAAGGTCCCAGGTTCGATTCCGGTCAAGGACATGTACCTTGGTTGTGGGCGCATCCCCAGTAGGGAGTGTGCAAGAGGCAGCTGATTGATTGATTCTCTCTCATCGATGTTTCTAACTCTCTATCCCTCTCTCTTCCTCTCTGTGAAAAATCAATAAAATATATTTAAAAAAAACAAAAACAACCTCCCAAAAAATAAAAGTCTAGGACCTGATGACTTCACCAGTGAATTCTACTAAATATTCAAAGAAGATTTAAAACCTATCCTTCTCAAACTCTTCCAAAAAAATTGAAGAGGCAATACTTCCTAACACATTTTATGAAGCCAACATAACCCTGATACCAAACCAAACAAGGATAACACAAAGAAAACTACAGACCAATATCTCTGATGAATACAGATGCAAAAATCTAAACAAAATACTAACAAATGAAATACAATAATACCTAAAAAAATAATCATAATACATCACAACCAAGTGGGGTTCATTCCAGAGGAACAAGAGTGCTTCAACATATGCAAATTCATCAAGTAATACACTACATTACAAAAGAAAGGATAAAAAGGATATGATTTTATCAATAGATGCAGAAAAAGCATTTGATAGATACAACATCCATTTGATTAAAACACTTAATAAAATAGGAATAGAAGAAAACTATTTCAACATAATAAAGGCCATATATGACAAGCCTGCAGCCAGCATTATACTCAATGGTGAAAAGCTGAAAGCTTTTCCTCTAAAATCAAGAACAAGACAAGGATGCCCACTCTCAGCACTCGAATATTCAGCACTAGAGGCCCGGTGCATGGAATCTGTGCCCTGGAACAGGGGTCCCTCAGCCCGGCCTGTGCCCTATCACAGTCTGGGACTCCTCGCTCCTTACTGCCCTCCTGCTCGCTGCTCCTTACTGCTCAGCTTGCTTCTCCTTGGTGGTGCCACGGTGCCAGGAGAGGCCAGCCATGAGCCCAGCTTCTGGCTGAGCAGTGTTCCCCCTATGGGTGCGCACTGACCACTAGGGGGCAGCTCCTGCCTTGAGCATCTGCCCCCTGGTGGTCAGTGCGTGTCATAGCGACTGGTTATTCTGCCGTAATGGTATTGTAGTTTACACTTTTATTATATAGACTAGAGGCCCAGCACACATGAAATTGTACGCAGTTAGGGTCCCTAGGCCTAGCTTTGCTCCGTCACTGGCCTCTGCCACCCTGCGACACTATGTGAAGCTCCCTACCCTGGAACACTGCAATGCTCATGGCCCCGCAACTGCCCTGCAAAACTGCCCCGCAAAACTGCCCCCCCCCCGCCCTGCCACTGCTCTGCGAGGCTGTGCCCCGCCCCTTGACTGCTTTGCAAAATTCCCCCCGCCCCACGACTGCTCCACAAGGTTCCATTACGAAGGATGGGGGGGACCGAGAGGTGCACCATGCACTTCATGATAACTGGTCGTCCATTCCGTCATGAAGGAACCTGGCTCTTTATTTATTACTAGAGGCCTGGTGCACAAAATTCATGCACAGGTGGGGTCCTCAGGCCTGGCCAATGATCAGGGCCTATCTGGGCCGTGATCAGACAGGGCCTGCAGGATGGGGAAAGGGACCAGAGGAGGTTGGCTGGTGTGGGAGGTTGGCTGTGGGAGCACACTGATCGCCAGGGGACAGCTCCTGCATTGAGCATCTCCCCTGGTGGTCAGTGCACATCATAGCAACTGGTCGGCCAACTGTTCTGTGATTACGGTCACTTAGGCTTTTAGATATAGATATAGACAGAGATAGAGATAGAGATAAGATATAGATATAGATATAGATATAGATATAGATGATATAGATATAGATATAGATATAGATATAGATATAGATATATAGATATAGATAGTTCTGCCAGAGCAATAAGTCAACTGAAAGAAATAAAAGTCACCCCAATCAGGAAGAAAGAAGTAAAAGTGTCACTTTTTGCAGATAACATGATTCTTCACATAGAAAACCCTACAGACTCCACACAAAAACTATTAGAAACAACAAGAAATACAGTAAAGTTGTAGGATACAAAATCAGTGTACAAAATCTACTGCCTTCCTGTATACTAACATTAAAATTTCTGGGGGGAAAATTCCTTTTGCAATTGCAACCAAAAGAATAAAATACCTAAGAATAAACTTAACAAAGGATGTAAAAAAAAAAAACACCTATATACTGAAAACTATAAATCATTATTAAAAGAGATTGAAAAAGAGAACAAAATAGAAAAAATATCCCATGTTCATGGATTGGAAGAATCAACATAGTTAAAATGACCACATTACCCAAAGCAACATACAGATTTAATACAATCCCCATCAAAATCCCAATGTCATTTTTTAAAGAAATAGAACAAGAAATCATCAGATTTGTATAGAACCATCAAAGACTCCAAATAGCCAAAGCAATCCTGAGAAAAAAGAACAAAGGCAGAGGTATCATACTACCTGCTTTCAAATTATACTACCACAGATATAATAATCAAAACAGCATGGAGTTGACTGAAAGAAAGAAAAAAAAACACATATCAATGGAACAGAATTAAGAGCACAGATATAAAACCACATGTATATGCTGAATCCGGTTTAGCTCAGTGGATAGAGCGTCGGCCTGCGGACTGAAGGTCCCAGGTTCAATTCCAGTCAAGGGCATGTACCTTGGTTGCAGGCACATCCCCAATAGGGGGTGTGCAAGAGGCAGCTGATCAATGATTCTCTCTCATCGATGTTTCTAACTCTATCCCTCTCTATTCCTCTCTGTTAAAAATCAATAAAATATATATATTTTTTTAAAAACAACAACACATGTATATGGGCAAATAATTTTCTACAAAAGAGACAGAAACACAAAATGGAGTAGAAAAAAAAAAAGCCTCTTCAATAAATGGTGCTGAGAAAATTGGAAAGCCAACTTCATAAGAACTCCTCTTGCTAAAGTCACTGGTGGCCTTCCACAGGGCTCTGTTTTCTGCCTTCACCATACCTGACCGTCTTGAAATTCTTTTTTTCTTGGCATCTGAGAGGCTACCCCCTGGGGCCACAGTCCTCAGACCTCCCTATCTGTCTACACACACTCCCTGCTCTTTGGCCAACCCTTCCAGAAAGGACTAGTAGCTATGCAGTGTGGTTCAGAATGTAGACTCTGCCTGAGCCCCAGCTCCAGGGTCGTTAAGCAGAGGTCATCCGCACCTCGCTCCAGGCTCTCGCTAGAGGTCAGCAGCGCGCCTCGCAGCAGTGAGTGTAGTGGATGTGTCGCTGGTGCCAGGCTGCCAGGGGTGGAGGCGGCCAGAGGTGTCTGAGCCGCCCAGGGAGAAGGGCAGAGTTTGGTGATGTGCAGGGAGGGGCAGAGGAGAGGCCGACCCCCCGGCCCTGTCTCCCTGTTAAAACCTGCTGCGTGCCCAGCCAGAGTGGCTCGGTTAAGCATCAACCTACGAACCAGGAGGTCATGGTTCGATTCCTGGTCAGGGAACATGCCTGGGTTTCGGGCTCAGTCCCCGGTGTGGGAAGCAGCCAATCTATGATTTTCTCTCATCATTGATGTTTCTATCTCTTTCTCCATCTCGTTTGCTCTCTGAAATCAATAAAAATATATTAAATAATAAAAATAAATAAAACTGCTGCAGGTGAAAGGGACAGCATGTTGTAAGGTAGACATTGGATATGAGTGGTGTGAAAATCAGCCCGCAGAATGCTTGCCCTTTAAAAATTAGACCTCTTTAAAGAGTGTAATTAATTAAATGCCCCCAGATGATCCCTGTTAGAAATGCAGATCATCTACTGAGCTGGCACCAGTGCCCTTCCCTCCCCTTTGCTCCCCTTCCCACAGTTCACCCCAAATTCCATGTAGGAGGAGTTATCAGCAGGCTTTAATGATGGTCCATCTACACCATGGAATATTATTCAGGCATAA